TGGATGGATGAGCTTTCTTCAATATTCACTTCATCTATGGGCTTCTCCGTCATGGTTCCAGATCGAGTTACATTGTCACAGCCCCAAGTCCAGCATCAAGAAAAGCTTCTCTTTCCCAGTAGACCCAGGGAATTCGAGTTTCCTCTTGGCACTTGGCTTGGGTTTTCCAGGGCAGGGAACCCTGATCGGCCTGCCACGTGCCTCTCCAGGGGGCTGAGGGGTCATGCCTATAAAAAACCACAGGACTCGGTGGAAGGGCAGAACCCCCAAGTCCACCGGGAAACCAGGGTGTTGCGGGGGGGGGGAGAGGGAGGGGGCGCGAAGACGCCTGTTCACCAGTCCCTGGACCCCAGGCAGGTGGACTGCAGCATGCGGACCGTGGCAACGGGTCGCTTCCCGGGGACCATCTGCTCGGGTTCCAGCCCCCGCGCCTGCCTCTCTGCAGCTGTGCCCCTTGGGCAAGAGTCTTGACCTGTCTTTACCCCAGTTTCCTCCGCTGTAAGGTGGGGACAGCAAAGGTAGGTGTTCTGAGGGTTGCCCGGGGCTAATCAAACATGGGAAGGATTTCTGTGGCTCCTGAAGCCTCCGACACGTGCCCGGTCATCAGTGTCCTAGCGTTCACTGCGGACGACGCAAAGCAATTGACTGAAAGCAACACGTTCGCTTCCTGTGTCCGTCCACGGGCTACACCGGCGTCAGCTCCAAGTCCTGATTCAAACCACGGCGGGGCCTGCAGCGCCTGACTTTGCTCACCAGGCCGGGTCGTCGGAGCCGCCGGTGGCGGGGCCCGGGCGCCCTCTGCTGGCGCAATCGCAGGCTGCAGCGAGCAGGGGTCCCCCAAGACACCTCCGCAGCAACCAGGGGGCCCCGGGCCCGCCCCACACTGTCCCGCTCGTAGCGGCTCCTTCGCGCGCCTCCCGCGCGCCTCCCACCGCCCACCGCCGCTGCTTGCGCTGTTTCCCTCTCTCCTGGTCTCCGCCAGGAGCCGGACAGCAGGTGAAGTAACCGTATCTCATTCATTGTCGCTTCACTGGAACACCGATGAGAGACAAATAAAAGCAGTCCCGGCCAGGGTGGCCTTGGCGATTGCATGCTATTCCCGTGTCTGTGGCGGTTTTCTCTGCAGACACAGGTTTCCTGCCACGTCCAGAAGTGGCACGTGGGGTCCCTGCGCCTCAGCGGCCCCAGGTGGGGGGGCGGGTCCTGCCCGCTCACTGAGCCAGGCTCCGGCCTCTGGAGCATCAGCGCGGGAAGCGAGCGAGCACATGGCCTCCCGCCCGCTGGGTCCTTCCTTGGACGCCTGGCGATGTTTCCCTCACCAGAAATAGGCCCTCGGAGATGAACCTGTTTCTGTCCATCGGCCTATGGTCAAATTGGCCTCTGCGTGTCATCTGGCTCCACATTGCTGTTCCCAAGTAGCTCTGGACCACTGTTAAGTGAGGTGCTCCCCAATCCCTGAGACCCTTCCTCCCGCGAGCAGGTGAAGCCTTTCTTTCCCTCCTAACTGAGCTCTGGGGCTGAATGCACCGCGGGAGAGACTGAGGACAACCTGCTGAGTCCGCACAGGTTCCCTGTGGTCTGGAAGCCCTGGAGGCAGGTGACCCCCCCTCCCCTCTCCTGCTTTAGCTCCTGGGGAAAGGCCGCGAGGAAGCTCGCAGTTTGGCCACAGGGGCTGGTATTCCCGGGCAGATTCCTCCGCGACCCTGGAGAGTCCCGTCTCCCGCTGCCCTGACCCCTGGGGTTGTGGCCAGTGCTGGTGCGGCCGCCTGGGCTGCCTCTGCCGGCATCCCTCCCCCAGGGCTGCCCCTGGAGACCTCGGCCACTGGCCTGCGCTGTCCCCACTTCCCCCAACCAGTGGCTGACTCATGCAAGCCGGGGGTTTCCTCCCGTGGCTGAGTACTCACGGGAGCAACAGCAACCTGGCCTTGGGCAGGCTTGGCCTCCTGCTTCCTGAGTGAATAAACCACCGGCTGTTTGTGAAGCCCGGACAAGCACAGGGCCCAGGACAGGGCTTCCTTACCATAGACAGGAGGCGTGGAGGTAAGGGAGAGGGGATGGGCTGGACGCTGGGAGGGGGCTCAGAAGAAGCCAAGTGAGCCTGGAAGTGGAGCCAGCGGGAGGAGGGAGCCAAGCTCACACAGCTGCAGGGTTCTGGACAGTTCCAGAGCGTGAGAAACAGCTGGAGACTGGAGTGGATGATGGGTGTGTGCAACTGTGCACCTGCATCTTGCTTAAAGATTATGAATTGTGTAGAAAAGGAGCTGTAAGGGACAAAAGAATATGAGGAAACATAATTTAGGAGGGTGTCCCAATAATCCAGGCAAGAAAAGGCGTGGACGACGCTGACCAGGCTGGAGGTGGTGGGGCTGGGCGCTTGTGAGAGCTGAATTTTCATCACGAGGCAGGAACCCCGACTGGCTGTGAGGCCAGCTGAGTCCCGGTTTGGGGGAGCGTGAAACGAACATGCTGGCCACTGGGGTGGGGGCTGGAGGATCAACCCAGGGAGGACACGTTGAATCTGAGCTGGCGGGAAGAGAGGCGAGCAGGATTCTTGCCACCTTTGAAGGGTTCCAGAAGCAGAACCTGGGGGCCGTCTGGGGCCCACAGATGGTGCCGCCCCCCGAGACAGGGGGCAGAGTGGCCGACACCAGCCCTAGGGAGGATGCTGTGGCAGTCGTGACACATCACATCCTCACTGAGCACTGGCCGGTGGGGGCGGGGGGAGCCCAATCAGGGGAGGAAATCCCACTGAAGCCGGGGGAGGCGCTTTTAGTCTCCCGAGACCCAAGACGGGGTTCAGCGTTCAGATTCCGGGTCTCCCACAGCACCTTCTACACGACAGCATTTCCCAAGCTGCCGGCGCATCCCGTCGGGCGGCGGCTTCTGGCTCAGATGCACGACCAGCGGGCAACCATTCTGCAGCCCCGAATGGGGGCTCACGGCCACCCCCTCACCAGGCTGCCTGAGCTGGGCTGCAGCACAACCAAACTGCAGACCTTGTTGCCGGGAAGGCGCGGGGTGAGGCCGGAGGCTCGCGCGGAGGGAGGAGAAGCTGCATTCATCGAGCCACCTGCGAGGAGGGGCCGCAGGGCCATGGAGGGCGCAGCAGAGGGACAGAGACTGTTCACGCGCCAGGCTTGACTGGGCGGCCGCGGGGTGGGTGGGTGTGTCCAGACTGATGTCCAGCAGTCAGCGTAGCCGCCTTCCAGGGCGGCCCCACCCCTCCCCTTGGGCCATTCAAGCCTCCCTGACGCGCCTGCTGGGCACGGACTGTCGTTTATGAATGTAGTCATGATGCCACCACACCCCTGAGGGGCAGTCAGAGGGGCGCCACGTCGCCCTGGCCCCCTGGCTCTGTCTCCCCCCCAAAGTTGATGTTATCAACTGGTGACTGAAGGGTCTGGGGGTGACATGAGAGGGAGCCCCAGACTGAGGGGACCTGCAGCCTCGACCCTCATCACCAGAGTCCTGGAGGAGATGCCAAGACACAGAAAGAAGCAAAGGAACAAAAACGCCGAAGAAGTATCAACAGGGGCAGGGATGCAGGGGACCCGCCAGTGAAGAGCTTCGAGAAGAGGAAGGCTCACCCCACCCACAGACAACCCGGCCTCCAGGGGTGCAGGGGACCCGCCAGTGAAGAGCTTCGAGAAGAGGAAGGCTCACCCCACCCACAGACAACCCGGCCTCGGAAGGAGACTTGGAGGAGCGTTAGGAGCGGCGATTTTGAAGCTGCTTTTGGAAACTATGCCCAGGAGCTCGGCCTGCGTCCGGGGAGAAGGGGCTCCGCGGGCGAAGTCTCCAGGGAGCCTGTGGAGCGTGGCTTGGATGGAGCCACTGGGGGGGGGTGCGCCCCGCGAGGGAGACGGGGTGAGTGAGGTGCAGGAAACGCCTCTGGGAGGTGATGTGAAGAGGATGGCCGTGAGCGGGGGCTCGGACGGGAGCGAGGCGGCGCATCTGGAAAAGGCTTCGATGAGGCACACAGAACGCGGTGGGAAAGGGCCTGGCCCGCGGACGCAGAGGAGACCTGAGGCCCATGTGGGTGCAAGCTGGGCGGAGGGCGCGGTGGGCGGCCTGGGCGGGGCATGAGGGGAGGGGCCCCTGCCCTCCCTTGGCACTGCACCCACCGGGGGCCCGCCGAGGAGAGGGGGCGGCCCTCCGAGGCAGTAACGAGGCGCACGTGTGCCTGGCGGGTCACCCCCAGGAAGCTCTGGAGGTCACGCCACGCCGTGATTTTATACAAGTCAGCTGGCTGTTACAGAAAACTTCAAAGCAGACGCCAGATAAAAAAGAGCACGAGGGGTAACCCCAAACGCAGCCTCGGTCACTGGCTGGGAGAGGGCCAGGGGAACACAGGGCCGCCTTCCAGGTGGGGCGGCGAACTGGGGTACCGGGGTACCGGCGGCTTCCTGGCCCGCTCCGGCCTCCTGCTTTCACGCGCCCGTCTGCGCTGGGCGTCTCCTCCCGGCGCCTCCCAGGCCCCAACCCCAGTCCCGCGTGCTCCCCCCTCGCGTGCCCTCTGGGGCGCACTGGGCACCCGCGTCACTGCCCGAAGCACCCCTCGGGGCTGCAGTCCACCGGCTCCTCCTTCCAGATGGTTTTCAGCCTCTGGGCCCAGGCCGCCGCCATGACCTTCCTTTCTTCCTCAGACGCGGTCGCAGGGGCAAAGCTGATCTGAGGGGCGAGCACCTCGAACCCACAGAAGTGCAGCACGCCATGCTAAAGCGGGCCGGGGTGGGGAGAAGCGCCATTAGGGGCGTCTTCCCGTGCACAAGTCACCGGGGCGGCAAAGTAAACTACGGCGCAACACGCAGCTTCCTGCTCCCGCGCCTCACACCCCCGCACCCCCAGAGCCTCAGGGTGAACGCTGGCAGGGAGGCGGGGCCGCCGCCGGTGGGAGCCCAGGGTGGGGGCCTGCCATCTGCTCCCGACCCAGGCCGGGAATTATACGGTGGATCAGGGAAGTCACCCACATTTGGACGATGGGGTGCTCCTGCCTGAGAGTCTCCTCCTGGCAGAGTGGTGGTGTGGAGAGTCACTCAAGCCACATGCTCAACGAACACCACCACAGCCCTTTGAAGCAGTCTTTGTTGTGTGCCAGATGTGTAGAGAAATCAATAAATATACCTAGTAAGTACGTACGTATGTGAGAATATTTGTGGGGGCCCTCCCTGGCGGTGCAGCAGGTTAAAGAGCAGCACGTGGAAGACTCGCAGCTGCTCCAGCGCGAGAGGGGACCCCATGGGCGGCAGACCTCTGCTGACCCTCCGGCCCGCTGCTCCCCTCCGCAGTGCACTTAAGTCAGTCTGCCTGTTCTGCTCCCCGCTGTCTCTGGGGAAGCCTCTCTCCACCCCTGCACCTCTGGCTTGCACCCCAGTTCTGTATGCATAAATAAATACATCTTTTAAAAAAAGATTATTTGTGGGCCTTAAGGAAATGCATCAAATTATTAAAAGTGGTTATTCCTGCAAGGGCGGGGAAGAGCACTCTCTCTTTTGATATTTCATTGTCTCATTTTGTCCTATAAGGTTGACTTTTGCAAACTGAAAAAAATATATGTAACACTGCTGAAAAACAAGATTACCAACCAGTGCTGTGGGGGAGGTTTGCAAATGATGGTTTCGTTGCTTTGTGACAACAACCCGTGAGCCAGGCCGGGAGCATTTCTGTCTCCTGAGTGCTGGGTCCCTGCGGCCCCCCAGCTCCCACCGGGCTGATGGGCTTTCTGCAGGTCTGTCAGCTCCAGGCGGAAGCCCCACACCTCAGACAGTGCCGGGAACAGGCCCGGGGCTCTCCCACCCAGGGTACAGGGATGGAATCGCCTCCCTGGCTATTTTTTTTCCCACATGGGGGCGACTGGGACGCGCAGGCCCTGTGCCCTGAGTGGGTCGTGGGGGTCCCTGGGCCCCAGACGTGCGCAGAACCCTGGGCCAGGGCGTCTCTTGCCAAGGTTCAAGGGCAGCAGCACCTTCATGCCGCAGGGCCAGCGCCTGCGTGGACAGCTCTCTGCCGCCCCCCAGCGCCCACCGGGGCCCCCTGCTGGCCCCAGCTAAGCTCGGCTTCCATGCACACAACAGTGTTATAACTACACAGTTCCCAATCGCCCAACCTGTTTTTTAAGTACAAAAGTTAAAAGGCGGAGGTGAGCCCTTCCTGTACCCAGGGGGTCCCAGGGCCCCGGGCTCAGACTCACCTCCCACCTGCTCTCCCCGGGGGCTGCGGGGTGGCTGTGGACGTACCTGGATGGGCCACAGGAAGTACCGGATGTCCCCAATGGCTCCCGACTTGGCATACATGTCAGCGGTGCCGCCCGTGGTCAAGGACAGGAGGGCCCGCTTGTTCTGCGGGGGAGGGCGGGTGTGTGTGCATGGCCTTGGAGGCTGCGAGTCCAGCCCGAAGGCCCAGGACGCTCAGGAGGGCACAAGGGGTCAGCTCTGTCCGGGGACGGGCAAGCGTGACATCCCCGAGTCGGGTGAGCCCAGACGGCCACGCCCAGGGGGACGCAGGAGAGAGCAGGGGAGGGGCCCCAGCTCTGGGCCCCCAGACTCTGGTAAAGCTGGCCCCGAGAAACGGCCCAGTGAGGCGCTGACCGCGGGGGTGACCTGGGGCTCGCCTGGGGCTCCAGGCTGCACCCTGGAGCTGCGCCCCAGGAGCCAGCTGCGGCCCCCAGGCCTCTCCCCTCGCCGAGCTCCGGGTGTGGGGTGTGGCTGCAGCAGCCAGACACCGCGCCCGACTGCAGAATCACGGCCGGCCGCTTCTGGCCACCCGCTTCAGTGGCCGAGGAAGCTGCTCGCGTCTGTGACCGTCGCACCGACACGCACAGATGTGTGTTCCTGCGGGCTTCCCTTCACTGTAGAGGCCCACCCACGGCACGGGGTCCCTCAGCACCCACGCGGTGGGGAGAAGCACCGGGTCCACGCTGCTACAGTCCTACACCGTGCAGGTGAGCACACGCCTCGGAACAGCTTGAGGGGTCTGCAGACGAGACCCCCGCCTCCCCGGCACGCACCTTGAGGAAGCCGGAATCGTAGAAGTCCGGGAAGTCGAAGGCGAAGCCCTGGCACAGCACCCTGTCCATCCAGCCCTTCAGGATGGCCGGCACGCTCACCCAGTACAGCGGGAACTGCGGGGACAGGCGGACGCTGAGGGCGGCCCCTCGCCTGGCCACCTGCCCGCGGGGCCGCCCGCTCTCCGCCTCTCCCCTGGGGTGCCGGGGGCCACTCAGCACTGAAGCCAGCCGCCAGACCCCTGCTGTGCGGTGCCGGCAGGCTCCTTGCCCTCTCTGTGCCCGGCTTTTCTGGCGGCACGTGGCTAGTTTGGAGCTCCCGGCACCGTGCGAGGCCCCAGGGGCAGTTTCCTTGCCCAGACAGCACCCGTGTCCTGCGGGGGGGGGGGCTACTCTCAGTGTTGCATAAAAATAACACAAAAGCAAAGCCTGAGGAAGAGGGAGGATGGGGGAAAACAGGCATTAGAAAGGAACGGGTCGGGGCCAGTTACCCTGCCTGGAGGGGCAGGGGAGAGCCTGCCCATCTGGGCCTCTGACCCCCGAGGGACAGCAAGAGAAGGGCCAGAGCTGGGCCTCGCTCTGCGGGGACGGGTCAGGCTGCCGGCCGGCCCCCCTCGGCCCTGCCGCCCAGCGTCACTGCCAGCTGTGGGTGACAGGCACGGCCACCCACGTCCCCGGCACCATCCCCCGCCAGGTGGCCAGGAGAAGGGACATTCTGGGGCAGGGTGTGCAGATGGGGAGTCCTGGGGCCACTTGTGGGAGCGCCTGGGGGCGGCACTTTCTGGGTGGCTCTGTCTGGAGACTGGCCCCAGCAGTCCCAGCCCTGGGGTGTGGTGAGCAGCGAGTGAGCCAGGGCGCAGGGAGTCGGAGCAGAGGGGTGTCAGCACCCCACTCCCACCCAGCACTTCTGCCTGTGGTTTCGGGAGACCTGACCCAGCAGGGTCCCCAGAGTAAACGCTCCCTTAGCCCTTCTGACTGCAGCCGACTCCCTAAAGCCACCTGCGCGTCTGCTGCCGGTGGCTGTGGGCAGCTCTGAAGAGCCCTGGAGCGGGTCGGGGCCAGCTCTTCATGCAGTGCATGGATGACTGCCC